TGGGCCTGTGCACTTTCTTATTAACACTTTAGTTTGGCACATGAACGAACACACCCTGACCCACCCATTGGACTTCCAACTGAACTGATAAAATTAAATATAGTCTTCAAGTTAAAAACATCCAGTGACCATTCAAAGTTACAATGATACCGAAAAAAGTGATTTATGACTTTTTTCCCCACATTGCACTAACCTGGTCATGTGACCAAACTTGGATGCTTGGCAACTGGCTTAAATTTATGAAGGTTGCAGCTTCCTGGGGTCATGTGATCACATTTTGTGACCTTCTGACAAGCAAAATCAATGGGAAACCAGATTTACTTAACCACCATGTTACAAACTGAACTGCAGTGATTCACTTAACAACTGTAGCAAGGAAGGTTGTAACATGGGGCAAAACTCAACAACCTTGCTTAGCAACGGAAATTTTTGGCACAATTTTAAGTCGTGGACTATCTGTGACTGCCACACAACTTTTTGGTCCCACCTCTCACCTGCTTGGTTGAGTTAGGTCCCCTGAGGATGGGGGAGAAGAAAAATAAGACCCCTGCCAGCAAAAGTCAAAACTTCAGTCTCTGTTCTTTCCTCCTCCCTTCCAACCGTTTCTTTGATGCATCTCTTTTTGGGGGGGGGGGGATTTGCACAGCCAATGCTATTTCCCATGGAACAGCTGGTCATCTCTTCTGTTTCCCAAGACCTGCCTGAAACTGGCCTTAGGGCTTTGTGAGACATGACTTCCCTCCTCCCTCTTAGAACTCCCTTCCCCACCTTCTCAGAAATGGATGGGGAGACTCAAACAAAACCTTGTCAATGAAGGCGGATGTAACTTTTGGATCTCTGCTCCGAGAGCTGAAGAGAATCTGGACTATATGTATACCATTCGGATTGCCTCCGTATAATGAAATCCTTCCCTGCAAGTTTCAGGGCCAGGATCTTATGTACCATATGCAATTATCTAAAGGGCCCTGGTATCTTCCCAGGGGAGGGTTTGAACCAGAGGTGGTATTCAGCCGGTTTGGAGAACCGGTAGCAGAAATTTTGAGTAGTTCAGGGAACCAGCAAATAGGTTGGCGCCACCCCCGCTGCCTCCCAGTTGATGGGCATGGTGGGTCTATTGCATCCTCCCAGCCTGGGTCTTCTTTTGTTGCCCTGCACAGGAGAACAGAGCTGGGAAGCAGTTAGTGGGGTGGGGAGCAGTGTTGAAATTCAATTTTTTTTATTACCGGTTCTGTGGTTGTGGCTTGGTGGGCGTGGCAGGGGAAGGATGCTGCAAACTCTCCATTCCCACCCCACTCTGGGGCCAGTCAGAGATGGTATTTACTGGTTTTCTGAACTACTCAAAATTTCCGCTACCGGTTCTCCTGAACCTGTCAGAACCTGCTGGATTTCACCTATGGTGGTGTGGGAATGGGGATTTTGCAGTATCCTTCCCCTGCCAGGCTCACCAAGCCACAACCACAGAACCGGTAACAATTTTTTTTTTGAAATGTAAAGACAAATCTGGATGTATATAGGTAGTCCTCGACTTACAACAGTTCATTTGGGGTGACCATTCAAAGTCACAGTGGCACTGAACAGTGACTTATGGCTGTTTTTCACCCTTAAAACTATTGCAGCATCCAGATGGGCATGTGATCAGAATTCAGATGCTTGGCAATTGACTCATGATGGTTGCGGTGTCCTGGGGTCCTCCTCTTAGCTGATGATCCACCTCGGTGCTCATTGAGGAGAATGACATCTATAAGCCTCTTGGATTTTTCTTGAAGTCTCCTTTCTCCCCTTAAGAGCCTCACCGTTTCTTGCAACCGTTAACAATATTTTAGGTATCAGATGTGTTCCACTCCAAAGCAGGAAGAGCTTCAACAAGACCTGAACCTGATTCTTTTGACCGAATGTGTAGAAATCTCTGAAGTGTTGGATGTTTATTATACTTGTATGCCGCCCTATTCCCGAAGGACTCAGTGCTGGGACAAGATAGAAGATCTTTCTTTTTTTTTTCAATTTAGAAAATAATTACAGGGATGAATATAGGTGAGGACTGTACATTTGTTTTAATAGCTGAAAACATTTACACTGTTAACTGTTAAAAACAGCTGGGTCATCAAACATTTTTCTCATTCCCTTCAATGAGATTTAATACAAGCGGTTACTTCAGGCTCAAGGAGGAGATGAAGTTCTCTATATATATTTATATTTAAAAAGTGGCGCCTTTAAAAACAAAACAAAAAGTGAAGTAACATACAGCAGGGTAGGGTTCTACCACAAAGTCCTTGGATGTGAGGAATTTAGACACAAAATACAGCCAGAAAGAAAAGAGGCAAGTGGAAGAAAGGAGGTGAGCTCCTCTGAGTTTGCAAGATGGCCTATTACCCCTGTCTGTTTCAACCAGAAATTCAGCTGTTCAGCGGCAAGAGATCCTGTCGCTAAACCCTGGACTCTTTGAAACATTCAAACAACAAGAATGCCTCAACGTTCTTGTAAAGAGATGCCATCGAGGTGAGTGTGGTGTATCCACGAGGTGTGTGGATTCAGACACGTATGCACACACACGGCAACTGCCTACACTGCACAAACTATCAAGCTGTCAGTGCTGTGTACGTGCTTTGAGCCTGTTCTTTCCAGAACTAAGAGCTAATCTACCCCAAAGGAAGGGACGTTCTGTTTGCTGCAACTCTTTCCAACTCATTGTCTATGAAACCAATACAATTTAAATTAGTTATCCAGGTGCCCGGATCCTTGCCTTTCTACACCAAGAAAAAGAGTGCAACAATTCAGGCTGGCTCAGTCTGCTGAGCTGCTATTTTATGAAGCCTCTGCCTTTTCGTCAGACCAAGCTAAGGAAAATTGTCCCCCACTCCTTGAACAAGTACTGTACCAGGGAAGGAACTGTTATTCTCCCTCTGCTCAGCCGCACAAGAGATTCTGTAAGCCACAGGCTGAAAAATTTGCTTAGTTCTTATACTCAAAAGCATAATTGGAGGACTTACAAGGAGAACAGACAAACAGCAAAACAGAAATAAGATACAGAGGAAAAGCTTCAGAGACCTCTGTACTTTCCAAATGCTTTTGTCGCTTGCTTTTCTGTTACGCCTGGGCTCTGTTTTCACTGTGAAAGGACAGCCCACTACGCCTGCTTCAGACAAAATGGCAACCCAGGTTATAGTCCTTCCCCATGAACTCTCCAGAGGCTTCAAGATCTACCTCTGGGATCTGTATCGTTCTCTTTGCCTTGACTTTCAACAGGATCTGTGCCCAGCCTTGACTTAGGAACAGCATGGCGTAGACTGAATGATAGCATTAACGCTGAACATGGGCTAGTGAGGCATGGCTGTTATTCTCATACTCTGGGAGGCTATGGGGTAGGTCACCATGGGAGTAGTGGCATGGCTCATGGTAATGCCCCCGAGAGGCTGAGCCATTGACACAGCCACCGGCGCTACCGATACAGCTACGGGGGCCATGGATACAGGGGGAGCCATCCCCTGGGCAATGGTCTGAGCCAAAGCTGCTGACAGCGGGGTGATTTCAGGGTTCATAGGAGGGGCTGCGTTGCTTGGGGGTGCTGCCTGCGCTCCAGCGGGGGCTACCAAATCCTGCTGGGAGACGGGACGTGGCTGCAGGGCCTGGCTGCTCAGAGTCGTGTGAGTTTGGGCAATGCTGTGGTTATAGTTGGTCACAGTGCCCACGGTCGGAGCCAGAGTCTGCTCGGTGGCTGTAGCCGTGGAGCTGAGGGTCATCACTTTGGCTTGGTTGCGGAATTGGGCGTTCTGTTCCAAGAGGACTTCGTTGGTGGCCAGGAGGTTGTTGACCTGCTTTTTGAGGTCCTCTACTCGTTTGCGGAGCATGATGTTTTCTTCTTCCAGGAGACGATATTCCACCGTGCGCGGACTAGTGAAGTTATACTCGTACGTTTCAAAGTGGAGCCCATCCACTCGCCTCCTTTTGAGCACAGGGTCGTGGTCGTCATAGCATCGGTCAGAGTCATACATTGGGTCATAGGGGTCATAGCGACGCACAGGGGTGGTGATACCCTGTTCCCGGGTAGCCAGGCCCCGGGCGTCGTATTCATAATCCCGCTGCAGATGCTGGAATTTGCACTTGGCCCCACGCTGGCAATCCCCCTTGAGAAAATCTCGGCAGATGGGAACCTCTTCCTTGCTGTTAGGGAGGTCAGCCGGGGACAGGCCAAGCCCGGCCGCCACTTTCTGACGGAGGCGCGGGGGAAGCTCCCCTGTCTTTTTGTAACAGTCTTCGTCCTCTTTGGTGCCGTGGATGAAGCGGCAATTGATACGGACGCACTCCTTGTTCTGAAAGTCGTGACAGAAGATGAACTCGTTCTTGCTGACCCCCAGGTTGGTCACCTCGTTCATGTCAGGGTGGCGGAAACGGCAACGTTTGCCCCGCTTGCAGACATTACGCAGGAAGTCTCGGCAGATGTCGTCAGCGTTGGCACTTGCCTCATCGCTACCATTACCATTATAGGTGTCACGGTCAGGCATCTTCTTGTCACGGCTGCGTCCTTCAATCAAGCAACTGTGCAAGAAACCAAGTAAGGGATGAAAGGGGAAAGAGGCCATGAACAGAGCTCATATTTTTATTCATTTGTAGTTAGATTTATACACTGCACTTAACCCAGCTTTTAAAAACGTCACATTATCGATTGACTGGGTGGGTGCAATATTTGTACCTACGTTTACAAACAAGTATGGTTGGGTTAATGCAACACACTAAGCTAAAATCAAATTGTATTATGGATTAGTGAAAAGTGTAAATATCGGGTTTTTTTACCTATTGGTAATTGCCCTGACTGATATTTTATTTCACAGGATTTAATTAGATTACAGGACGG